GGAAGGAAGGAAGGAAGGAAGGAAGGAAGGAAGGAAGGAAGGAAGGAAGGAAGGAAGGAAGGAAGGAAATTAAATGGGGGTGAGACGTATGCCTTCCGTGCACAGATGCATGTGCATCTGGAGACCAGAGGTGTACACTGGGTACCTTCCTCTATTGCTTTCCACCTCATTTAAAAACAAAAAAAAATGTGTATGAATGTATTAACTGCCTATATGTGAGTGCACCCATGTTGTGCAATGCCCTCACTGTGTCAGGTCCCTTGGAATCGGAGTCATAGATGACTGTTAGCCACCATGTAGGTGCTGGGAACTGAACCTGAGTCATCTGCAAGAGCAGCCAGTACTTGGAACTGCTGAGCCACATCTTCAGTCCCATCCACCTCATTTTTTGAGACAGAGTCTCTCACTGAGCCCAGAGTTCACTGACTGGCTAGACTGTGCCCAGCTTTTACATGAGTACAGGCTGCCAAACTCCAGTTCTCAAGTTTGCACAGCAAGCATCTCCCCAGACAACTATATACACATTTAAGTATCGGCAAAACAAAATTATAAGGGACAAACTAACAGTGACATAAAAGTTGGCAAAAGGACAAAGCATAGCAAAGAAAAAAGGAACACTAATACCTCTAACCAAAAGAAAAGACATTCAGTTGCATGTGAGTAAAAGAAACAAAAAGTCTAAGATACCACTTTGACCTATTAGATAGGAAACTAACAAGAAGTCTGGGAAAGGCTAAGGAACCTGGCACTTGCCTATGCTCCTGAGGGGAAAGTAAGCAGGTTTAACCACTGTCAGACTGCATTCTATATACCTAGCAAAACTTCAAAAGGACATTCTTTCAAGAGGAATTACTCCTGAAGACACATCTATACGGTCGCATACAAGGACTCCAGAGCCCAGAGGTTCACTGCAGCATTATTCAGCCAACTACTAGAAGTCACTAAATAGCCACCAGCAAGGAACTAGTGATCTATGCAATGCAATGATTTACAGACTGGACAGGGAGCAGGAAAGCTGCTTCTGTACTGATGATGGCGGCGTAAGACATTTCAGGGTACTTACAAGTGCTCACAGCAATTATTTTATAGGGAATAAGCTCCAAAATGCAGTGTTAAACCAATAGAGGGAGGGGGAGAAACAGCAACAAGTTAACTAGTGAATAGTATGCTCAGGTGTGGTGGTGCACGCCTTTAATCCCAGCACTCAGGAGGCAGAGGCAGGCAGAGCTCTGTGAGTTCAAGCCCAGGCTGGTCTACATAGTTCCAGGCCAGCTAGGGCTACTAGGAGACCCTGTTTCAAAAAGTCCAAAAAAACAAAGCAAACAAACAAACAACAACAAAAACCCCCCAAATCTCAGACAGACATGCATTTATGCATACAAAGAACATTTCTGCAAGTCTATATAAGCAACAGTCTCTAAGAAAGTGGAACTTAGGGTATGAGGGGGACTACTGTACTGTTTTAAACTGTTTTTTCTTCTGTGTGTGAATGTGTGTGTGGGGGGCAGGTGCACTTGCCTGTGTCTGTGCCTAAGCATGTGGAAGCTGGAGGTTGACTCTGGGGGTATTTTTCTATGCTCTCTAACTTGATTTTTGAGGCGTCTCTCACTAAACCTAGAGATCAGAGTTTTGGCTAGAC